GGTTTGCGGAGAAGGGGAATAATATTTTCCTTAGCTGAGGGATGGCCTTGATGGTTTATTGAGGATTGGGGAGGTAAAGGGAGAGGAAGAGGAGGAGGAGGAGGAGGGGGGGGCAGGGGGGAGGCAGCCTGAGAGGTGACACATGTGGAAGGCATGCCGGCTCCGTTGGGGTGCTCCTGCTGCTGTGTTGGACCGCAGCTTGGGGTCATGAGGGACTGGCTCCAACGCTCTTTATGGGGCTCCCACAGTCAGCAGCACCTGCTCCGACCACATCAACACCCACTGACCCCTGTTTGGCAGTTTCACAGCTGTGGTGTTTCCATAGGCGCTGATGGATTCGTCTGTGCGTCTACACCGTCTCTGCTCTGTAACTGGATGTCAAAGGGACCTGCGCTCTGACCCCCACGCTCTCCTGTCCAATCATTCCTACTCCATCTACCCTAAGTTTAGCTGACGCACCTCACCACAGCTTAGCTAGCCCCTTTCTCCACTTTTACATTCTGTTATGCAGACACGGAGATGAATAAAAAAGATTTGACCACTAGTGGGGTTCACTTTCAGAAGCCTGCAGGCTCACTGCACAGGCACAGGATACTTCGAAGACCCATGAAATGTGTAACATTTCACGGTATAACAGGACGCAGCACAGCTCTCAGCTGGGGCTGGAGTGTGACCGCCAACAAGTCAATTTCATGATACGTCCTGAAGATCAGCTACAGCCTGGCTGACCCTGCAAAAACCCAAAGCCATGGGGTCAGTCGTGTCTCTGGTTCTGTAAGCAGTGAGCATGTAGTTCCCCTCCCTCGCCTGCAGGTGTTGCTGTGCTGGTAGCGCAAATCCTTTTGTCTGTTGAATTTAGTTCACATCGGCCATTCCTACAGTATCTATCAATTACTACAGGGAATCAAACTAGCGATATTCTTGCTGTAAGGCAAGACAACTAACCACTCCTTCCTGCTGTGGTCTCAGATTCATTTTGTCAATATCCGGATCAATTTATATATAAAAAAACAGCATCTCTGCACATCAACACTGTGCCATAAACTGAACATGTTTTTTCAAACATTTTTGCGATATTGTACATTTGAACTAAATGAATAACAAATTATTTGTTCATGTGAAATAATTTCACCAACTAAAAAACAGTTTTACATAAATATTAATATTGTTACTTGTTTTTTTGTTATTCATGTAAAATAATTTCACCAACTAAAAACCAGTTTTATATAAATATTAATATTGTTACTTGTTTTTCGCATAAATAATTGCACTGAACCAGACCTAACCCATTAAAATGCATCAACAGCGCCCCTAGAGGGAAACGAAAGGAATTACAAGTTGTGTGTTTACACTGAAAACCAAACCTTTTACCAAGATAGGAAAAAAAAAAGCGTTACAATTAATGGGCCAGAGAAAAAAGACACTTTTGAATCTAACTCAACCCATTCCTTTCAGCTTTGATTAAATCTGGTGTTTGTGTTCGTTAACATCGCAAATCAGCTTAATAACAGAAATGTTTTGTTTCTCTCTGCGGTGAGCTGTAATTAGACTGGCAAAACTGATATCCCCTTGTATCAGTCTGATTCCGGGGAACATGTGTGAGAGATTTGGGGGTGAGAGGAGAGCACTAATACAAAGCAGCTGTGTGTGAAAGCGTCCGATGTTGACGGATTGGTCCGAGTGCAGCTACAGCTCTGCCTTCTGCCGCTGTGGCTCATAAGAAAGTGATGGAAGTTACATTTTTGGCCGCAAGGGCTCGTCCGCCCGAGCCAATCAGGAGCAACTCTGCTGAAGGTTGATGAACGACTGTGTCATAAACACATTTCCTCTGGGCACGATCCATGCAACACAACACGCAGCACGAGTGTCGAGCTCACAGACAAAGACGTAAATTCTTCTTCCGTCTCAAGTGCTTTTTTACATTTTTAAATGTGAGTGATGTCTGACTTTGTTTTAAGGCTTTTTTTTAAGTAGAGCTAGATTTACTCTGTTTTTTAAGTAATGAGTATATGAGTAGTATTTAATAAAAAAATACCAGATGTTAAAGTGGGCAGAAAGTAAATCTAAAATGGATTGTTTTTAAAATAAACAATTAAAAAATGGTGAAAAGATTTTGTGAAAGTTTAGTGGAAGTGGCTGGTTAATGGTAAACAGACGTTTCTAAACTTATAGCAAAGGGAGAAAAAAATGTTGATAAATAAGATTTAATTATAAACTACAAATAGTAGGTAACAATTAGGTAACAATTTGGAGCTAAATGTTAGCCACAGATACGTTGAAATGGGAACATAAATGGGGGAATAAATAAGGATTGATCTAAATTATATATTTTTACTGAAGCTACATACATCACAACATGGTTAAACAGAGGACATACTGTATATATATATATATACATATATATGGACAGATCAAATTACTGGACTAAACCGCTGACCACCTACCCCGTTTGGTTTGGGCCCATGAAGGTTTCTATGGCGGCTGGAAGCTCTGACTTCAAGATGAAGAGATAGGACGACATGGCTGAGGGGAGCAGAGGAAAGAGGTTCAGTCATTTTTTTTTAGATCAAATACATTTGTAAAAGCACACACTTCCAACAGAAACTAGTGAATCATAAACACTACACATGACAAACACTGTTATGATGCTGTGTTATCCAGCACAGGGAAACTGGAGGTCGGGTGGGATGACGGGGTGGAGGGTGAAGGGGTTGGGGGTGGTTGGGAGGGTGGGTGGGGGTGTAACAGCTCTGAGTTAATGCACAAGGGTGGGGCAGGCAGCTCAAAGAGATCATCAGAGAAAGCTCTTGCCGCTATGCAGATATTCCAGAGGCTGGAGCAGCAGCCACGGCAGAGGAATGCTAACAGTAATAATCTCTGACGCTAATCCAGGTATTTTTGCCCTTTTCCACCTCACCCGGAAACAGGATATTATGCGAATCTGACAGGTAGCGACATAATTCTCTGAGAGCTCAGGGAGCCAATGAGAGGACGGGTCAGGGTCACTCCTCAGAGGTCATGTTAGCTTCCAAAAATGGAGGCGCAAAAGGAGGGACAGGATGCAGTGGACCAGGAAAAGAGGATTTCAATGTAACGGGTTTGTTATGAACCAGGGATTTAGATGCAGTGTGTGGTCAGTCATAAAGGGAGGTAATGTTGGGGGGTTTAAATCTGTGAAGCCAGGCAGAGCCAGAGTTAGCCGGGGCCTTATTGCCTCCAGGCCACGTCTTGCACTCGCTCGTTTTAATAAGCCCAGACCCTAATCCCACAGATCCTGTATTTGTTTGGAAAAGAAAATTCCTCCAACAACGTTCCAGCCCACACAGACACAAGGACACACACTCTGAGAATAACCACTGGTGTTTATGAACACTAAGTCCTGTCAATAAGGTGGCATTAGGAGGGAGCAGTTTAGAAACGCCTCGACCAAAATGTTCCCGCAACAATTCAAATAATAGTTGGAGCACGCTCGAATGTCCTTAAAAAAGACAGAATACACAAAGCTAATCCTTTTTAATGCTTTTAACCAACTGCCCAACAAGTGTAGACTCAGGTTTGCCATTTAAAAGTAGACCCAGTAGGTGGCAGTACTAGTCGCTACTTAAAAGAAGCCCAGCCACTATAACCCCCCCCCCCAACCCCCCCAAAGCAGTGGTCTTAAGTGATGATTTGTTTTAAATATGTTTTATAATTAAATAAAAGGATAATCAAAAATTATTGCAAAGTAATTAAACTGCCACTGCAGCGCCCCCTGGAGGGGAGGGATAGGAGCCACATGGCCTTTGACTTGTACAGTTTTAAAGTTTTCTTGTGTAAGATTTACTGACATATAAAGGTGAATTCAAGTTTCAGTTGTTGGAGTTTTTCTCAGTTCAACATTTTCCTTTATTATTTTTTCTTTTATGTTGAAAAAAAATGCCCCGAATCAATATATAGATTGTCCACTAGGGGCTAAAGTAACATCAAACCATAATAAAACTTGGTTCTTTTAACACTAGTAGAAATCTTTTGTTTATAAATTATAAATTAATCTCAGTAATTAGTCTGTTTCTAAACCAGTGCAGCACAAACCAGTCCCTTCAACCACACGGGGATGAACAAACACTGACATTGGAGGCAAAACAAGCATGAACTGATGGTTAAGATTCAAGCAGATGGTTAACACCGAGCACAGCACTTGGACACGAGGTCCTGCAGGGGTCATACTTACGTCTCTAAAACATAAAAAAGACCTTTGAGTGGAGAAAAAGGGATTGTTATTAGCAGAGTGTTAAGAAAACATGTTCTAATAATGAGCATTTATGTACAATTGCTGTAAACCTGCCGAGTGAAAACAGTGATGGGGGACAGAGCCACTTTCTGTTCATCAGGACTGAAGGCAGCGATGGACTGGAAGAGCTCTGGGCTCTGGGCAGTAATTAAGGTCAATTGCCCCATCAGCCTTTGGCAGTGCAGATGAATGTTTACTCAGTCAGGCTAATTGCACTCTTATAAAAGAGGCCCAGGGTGTAGACAGATGCATGCTGGAGTGCTGGGCTCTCACAATGGCAAACACACTGCCCCATGCTGAGAAAACCACAAACATACCAGAGGGTACGGCAATAACCCACTCAGCCGTGTCACTAATGACTGCGGAGGGGAGCTACCACCTCTGCTCTCAGCTGTCTGGGAGGCAGGGACATTTGTGGCTGATGCAGATAGAGCAGGACGTAGCGGCGGACTAATGGGGGAGGCGGCGGGGGAGTAAAGAGATGACTCCACGTTCAAAGGAATGGTGCTGGTTTACCATCAGTGATCAATTAGACTCTACAGTCTGGTCTCAGACACGAGGGATGGGGGGGGGGGCTGGGGACACCAGTGACAGTGTCAAAGGTTATCAGTGAAGTCGGGGTAATGGAATCACAGGAAGGAGGGATTGACACTCAGCATAGAGCTACCAGACCTCCAGTAGGAGGCACTATCGACCTCCACACTGAAGGGTCCAGAGTCTGGCTCTCAGCACTCTTGACCCGCCTCACCACTGTACTTTGAGCAGAACCACAAAATCAATTTGTCTAACATGTCAGAAATAATGTGCCTGAATGTAGAGGAAAAATGAGGTCGACTTACCACCGATATTCTGGACGATAATAGTGACGGCTACTAGATACTGAAAACAAAATTTGAAAAGATTAGTGAAAAAACGTTCATAAAATATACAAGTGTAAAAGCAGAAAATGAAATTAGTGCGCGTTGGCAGCAAAAATGCTGTTGGAATACGGTTAAGAATGTCATCATGTGGACTTCAAACACTTCAACCTTACATTCCAGTAAAAATGAGTTTTATTGGAGGGTTAAATGGTCAACTAGGTTTCTAGTGTGACAACAATTTTCTCTGCATCTGACTGTAACACCTGGCAGACAAATACAGCTAAGAAAAATGCTAAGAAAATGAATTCCTTAGTATACCAAAATGGGCTAAAATTAACCGAACAAGTTAGCAATAAAACAGCCTCAAGTTAGCAAAATAGCAAAAACTAGCTAATAACTGACAAATGAATAATACAATTATCCAAATCAGATGTTTTAATGTACAATAGACATTTTTGACCACAATAAAGTTACTAGATAAAACATTTATCAGAATTTATTGCTGAAATGGACAAAACTACAGATGAATTAGCAACGAACTAGCTACAAGATGGCTACTTCACAGCTAACTAAGATTAGCCAAGAAATGGGAAAAACCCCAACATTAAAATAACAAAAGACAAACTTAAAACAATAAGCTTGTTTGTTTTCAAAATACAAGGTACGCTAATAGGTAGCTGAAAAATATTTAGAAATGTAGTTAAAATGACTTTTTAAATCAAACATATACCCAAAGACATATTGGAATAAGCTACAAAAACGCTGTTAAAACAATCACACTCTCACCAAAAGGAAAACAACACTTACTTTTCCTGGTTTTTGTAAGGCTCTTCTTCCAAGATCTTCATAAGTATTGATGCCTATGAGGGTCAAATAGAAAAAAAAAATAAAAAAAATAAAACAGCCTAATATTTCTTGGATAAAAAAAAAACAACTCTCTTTTTGATTTTGACACATTTAAAGGTCATTTAATCCTATATTTCCCCCCAGGTGATAAACAAATAATAAGAGAATAATTTCATGGTTTCAATTGGTTTAAAAGGGAGATAAAAAATAAAATTTAAGAATAATTTCATGGTTTCAATGGGTTTAAAAGGGAGATAAAAAATAAAATAATGTATCAATATATGTAAAGATTTATTTAAGTAGAATATTTATTTAACTGTATTATATAAAAATTAATTATAAAACCTTGTAAACTGACCATTAAGTTTCTATCTAAATTGTCTAATCTCATTGTCGTGCTCTGTACTATTTACATGGCAGTATTTTATCAAGCTATTTTCTTATCTGCTCATATCATTGTATCTATACAATGGTAATGAATAAGAAAACAGTCAGTCTGATAACATTGAAAAAAAACAACACTACGCTTGAAAAAGCTTGAATCGTGTCCTTATCTCTTTTATTTCCTCTGTCATTTAAAGCCAGTTAAATAAACAAAGCACAAATGTATTCACAAACAGAGGAGTTGAACAGGGTTAAATTAATCTAATTTGAATGGAAGCCCACAGATAAAGTCACAGGGAGTCGCTTGTCTAAAATTAGGCTGCGTTAACTGATATCAATCACTCACCTGTTTCATCACAGAGCTTCAAAAGGAGATGTATAGAGTATGTAGCCAGGACAGAAACTAGCGCCAACAGGAGGCTGCAGAGAAAAGAGTAGAGACAGAGAATGTCAGAATCTGTCACAGATCAATAACATTTTGTTGAGTTTTATGTCAATTGTTTTTCTGCAGCTGGTGTTGTTTTTTCGGAGTTTCCTCACCTGAAACCAACGATGCCGGTGTTCGCCATGGCGTACGCCAGACCCAATATACCACTGCCCATGATGGCGTTCATCAGGTTGAAGACGGAGGAGGCGAAGGAAGCTCCTTTGGCTCTGGTCCGCCCTGATCCCTGCGTCAGGGATAGAACAAAAAGAATAAATGTGTTTATTTATGTCGGAGTATTTGGAGACTGAATCAGGAACAACTGGCCGGTGTTCATGATGGATGACATGAAACTACGCTGCAGTGGCATGTGGGATCAGGGAATGGAAATGGGAATGGATGGGCTGGGATTTGAGCGGCTGGTTGTGGGACAGCTGCCGGAGCTCAGGATAAACTGCTTGACCTCTGTAATAAGGGATATCCTGCAGAGAATGAGTGGCAACTCTGGTGTCAGTGTCACAACAAGCTCACGTCGACCTGTTAGCCACGACATCTGATTCAACTCTGAGTTACAGTTGTGGAAGAGAGGACGTCGACTTTAAGACCCCGTGTAATTAAACAGTTGAGGACAAAAAGGTCACCCACCACCACATCCTCACTGCAAGAGAACTGAATTATTTTTTAACAATTTCCCAACTGCTTTTTTTTAAATATTGAAAGATTTATTGTCCGTTAACTTAAAAGATTTCCTGTGGGATTTAAATGACTAACACAAACTTTGAGTTTGTAAAGTGTATTAATTCTATTTACTTTATTTTCTGATTTATTATAATTATTTAATTTTTTTAAATGCTGCTGGAATTTGAATAAATGGACTAAAATATTCCAAAACGTAGAACCAAAAATATGTGATTTCAAATTTAAGAAATGTAGACGAGCTCAAGAAGCCTCTTGGATGAAAGGTGAAACATCTTCAGAAAAAAACCTACTCCGTCCAGTTGCCCTCGACGTAACTATTTGTTGGTTAACTGTATGCAGTTGAAGCTACAAAAAAGAAGACACTTCAGTAGAACAGTCACTGAGTAATGAGTGAATGAGTGGAACTGGACTAAAAACCAACCGTCAATTAAATTCTCACGCAGTTTCATTCCCTTCTGATGTGTTGTGATTGGTTTCAGACGATGATGGGATTAATTCTCATCATGTGCCGTCAACATGTTTGAATTGTTTACTGATAAGTAATGGTTCGGAAATAACATCAACAGGGGATATATCACTCAATCACCATTTACAATTCTATTTTAGAACAATTTAAAACATACATAGAAATTTGACCAAAAAAACATTTAGCATTAGCTACTTCATATTCCTGCCTTCACTGGGACTATATTTAGAATTACTACTCCTTGTACTACTACATGTGAGTGTTTTCCTCAGTTTCTAATCATATTTGGTCATTTAGCTGATCTGAAGAATGAAAACACTGCTTTACATCTGTGCCCTCCACAGCCTTAAGGAGAATTCAAATCATGCAAGCACAGCTAAAAGCAGGACAAGTAGTGTTAATATGTAACTACACAAAGTACTCTCTGTTGAACTCACTGCAAAAAAAAAACAAAAAAAAAACTGCACAATGCTGTGAAATGTATCTTCACATCTTATGTGTTGCACCTGTAGTTAAAGTTGACTCTTTTGTTAGGTGCTGACAGAGTGAATAACACTGCAAAACATTTACTGATACAGAAATGAGTGACATTTCTATCCAGGTACAATTTTGACTTTTCAAAAAAGAAGATGCAAGTATTTGTTTAGAATTTTTTTTAGAATAATTTACATAATCTATATATATATATATATATATTGTTATTTAATCAAGCCATATTTTGAAAATAATGTTTTTTTTCTTACTATTTTAATAATATGAGGATGTTGGAAAAAATCCTACGCGTTTTGACAGATTTCCACTTAATTTAACTTCTTAGTTAGTTCTTAGTTCTCTGTGTTACAGCAAACTACATATAATGAATATTTTTGTGAACAATATAGAGACAGATTGCAGACATTTCATGTCTTAAAAATGCAGTCTGGTCGATTACAGAACCACAACGACAATTATAACATCAAAATTCAAAGCCTTTCCATGATTTCAAACCATGTTATTGACCATAACACAGGACACAGTGGTGTTTTATACTTACATTAGGTAATAAAGGAGCAGCTTCGGAGTCGTCTCCGTCCACAGCGGTGTATGACTCTCTGAGTGCATCTCCGTTCAAACTCATTTTCTCCCCGAACCACCAGAACCTCCTCACGACTCTGTACTGACTTACTCCACGCCTAAAATCGCCCTTAAAACCCCTCTGATTAAATCATCAGCAGTTCTCTGTTTGTTGTTGTCCGCCAGGTCATGTGACACAAAGCTTCCGTCGCTCGTATGCGTCATAGATCAGACCATCCAATCACAAGTGGGCCGTTTGCTCCTCTAACCAATCAGCAGCCACTAACCGTCGAACATTGATGACGCTTTAGAAGCGTGTATGGGAGAACAGGATGTCAAGGTCTGAACCCGAAACCGCGTTCCATCAATGATTGAAACAGTATCTGACTTTTAATATCGTTTCTGTGATGTTTATGTTATTGCTTAACTTTATTCATGTCCTTTTCTCATTTCCGTCTTCTTTTTCAGGCTCCTCAGGAGACTCGTCACACCTGTAAACAATCAAAGGAATCAAAAACCAGCGGCTACACGCCTCCGGTATCAAACATCAGCTCCACAGTCTGCTGATAAACCCCTCATGGAGCCCAAACTGTACCAACCACCCTCAGCGGTCAGAGGTATGACCACTCTGGACAAGGAAGCCTTCACACAGACCATCACTGTCCCAGCCTTGAGGGTGCCCACTAAGGTGTTGAACAAAGTGATAAAGAGCTTGAAGAAGGCCACAATCCAGCGCCCTGGTGTGCAGCGGGTCCTAGCAGACACAGAGGACAGTGTTGCCTTTCGCCTGGTCCTGTTGGACCCTCACAGAATCTCATCCAAAAGCTCATTCTCAGAGTCTGAAGCTGAGGCTCTGAGGTCTTTCAGTGTCAACGAGGAGCTCCAGTACCAAGACCTGAAACTGACCTATGACAACCTGAAGACTGAAGAAGTGCTGGAGGCAGTGCTGCCCGAGGGTCAGGACGTGACCTCGGCCTTCAGCAGGGTGGGACACATCGCACACATGAACCTCAGGGACCATCAGCTGCCCTACAAGAACCTCATAGGTGAGACGGAAACATCTCATATATATATATGTGTGTGTTTATATATTTTAATATATGTATATATTTAAATATATACATGTATATATAAATATATAAAAACACGCTTTGCCGAATGTAAATATACATGTAGACATGTATATTAAAAATAAATAAATTGGGTTTGACGTCTCTGTCTGTTCCACTGTAGGTCAGGTCATCATGGACAAAAACCCTGGTGTGACCTGTGTGGTGAATAAAACCAACATCATCGACTCAACCTACCGCAACTTTAAGATGGAGCTGATGGCTGGGGAGGAGAACATGGTGGCCAAGGTAAGATAAGTCAATACGCCAATAATCATTGGCATCGACTGCATTTCCAACCATCGTCGACTTCGACATCGGTCCGGGAGATAAAATTGCCAAATACAATTACACGCACAAGGAGTTTGACCTGGGACATTGGTACAATATTATGAAATGAAATGATGTACAGAAATACCTCGACATACAAGAATAATTTGTTCCAGGACCGAGCTCGTAACTCGATGCGCTTGTATCACAAATCATTTTGTCCAATAAGAAATAACAGGAAAAAAAGAAGAAAAAAACTCCCTTATTGGTGCTAATAACAATGGAAAAAAACATGTTTTTAATTGCTATAGAGACATACACTAAAAATGATAGTATATAAGGATTCCCGTGATATAAAATAAAATGTGGTTTTAATTATGAGTTCTTAGAGAGAGAAAGTCTCTCTAAGAGAGAAAATTACAAAGAAAACGCAAACACCATATGGAAGACTCGTGGGAGATGCGTACGGAAGTCGACGAACACGTGATTTTTTTGAGGAAGTTTTTTTCCTCATACTGCTATTTAGTATTTGATTTTATACATTTTTTTAAATACTTACTTCTTGTGAAGTCCTTTTTTGTTTAGTGAAGCATAAGTTTGTGTTTTATTTCTAAATCCTGAGACTTCTTATGACCAATAACAACCTTGAATCTTGTGGTCCAAGGAAGAGAAGATGAGATATTGGTTGTGATCCAATGATCCAGCCTGGATCAGGTCTGACAGGTTGCCCTTCCCACGCTGCTCTCCAGTTTCCTCTAAAAACATTGATTAAAAAAAAACAAAAAAACATCTGAACTTCCTTCTTCCTTCTTTAATTTCTTCGCTGCTTCAGTCGCTGCACCGACAGACGTTACAGTCGAACTGATGAAACCAAATAGTTTTTGGTTTTCAGAGGATACCAACATTTCAGGTTTCAGACTAATTGACCAGAACAGGAACCACAGTCTGGAAGTTTCCTGTTGTTTTTAGATGAAACATTGCTTGTCAACATTGCTGATGCTCATTTGTCTGTATGTTCCAGGTAAAAGAAAACGGCGTAGCGTACGAGTTTGATTTCTCTAAAGTTTACTGGAACCCACGACTGAGCACCGAACACCAGCGTGTGGTGGAGCTCGTCAAACGGGAGGACACCGTGTTCGATGTGTTTGCCGGCGTCGGACCTTTCGCCATCCCGGCCGCACGAGTGGGCGCCAACGTTTTCGCCAATGACCTCAACCCGGAGTCGCACCGATGGTTGCAGCACAACTGCAAACTCAACAAGGTGGAGAACAAAGTGCGAACGTTCAACCTGGACGGCAGAGCTTTTATCAGAGGACCTGTGAAGCAGCAACTTCCTGCTCTGCTCAAAGAACAAAGGAACGTTCATATAGTGATGAACCTGCCGGCCTTGGCCTTGGAGTTTCTGGACGCCTTCAGGGGCCTCCTGCAGGAGCAGGCGCCCTCTGACGACAACTTACCGACGGTGTACTGCTACAGCTTTTCAAAGGATGACAACCCTGCCGAAGATGTGACCAAGAGGGCGTCACAGATCCTGGGGTTCTGTGTGCAGGACAGGAGCTCCGTGCAGTTTGTGCGAAACGTAGCACCGAACAAGGACATGATGTGTTTGAGATTCACGCTCCCTGAAGAGGTTCTTTACAGCAGCGGTGAAGAGCAGGAACAGACAGGTGAGATCTGACCTTAGTTCATGTTTAGGGAGTCATTCATGATGGTGGTTAGAGCAGTGGTTCTTCATTATTTTCTGTCATGCTGCCCCTTGGGGATAGAAATGTTTTCACATCCCCCGACCCACACTCCAACGAATTGAAATACCTTGAACCTGATGACACATACTGTATATCGTTATCTGTACAAACCACTGTATGAGTTGCTGCCACCTAGTGACTGGAGGTTTTTTTTTTTTTTATCATTCAAACATTACAGCAGTTGTGCCATATTCCATTGGAAACCCCGTCCCACTATTTGAGAAGTACTGCCTTAGAGCAACATTAGAGATTACCAGTTTGCTGGTTCAATTCCTGCCGAGTAGCAAAAGAGTCAGAGTAAACTGAACCAGACTCCATGTGAAGGTGGTTTGAACCCTGGACGGTTAAATATGTTAATGTAGAGCCTCATAAATAGACAACCGTTCACACTGACTTTCACACCTAAAAACAGTGACGTTGTTGCTGTACGACAAGGTCACTCACCACTGCACTACCATCACATCACAGGCCATGGTTTTTTTATCGACTTCTATTATTACAGAAAATGTTAAAAATAAAATATATTTTATTCAGTAGCTTTACTGATGTTGAGTACTTTGTACACAAAAGATAAAGATTAAAGTCCATAAAAAGTATTTCTGCATCACAACCATTCAGATTTAACACTCACTACGTCATAACGTATTTGATTTGTTATTAACCCCGTAACTGGTTTCTGACTTACCCACAGAGACGGCAGAAGAACCGGCCCTGAAGAGACAGAAGTGTGAAGAAACTACAGAGTCAACATAGAAATACTTCATATTTTAGTTACATTCTTTTTTTTTCTTTTTTTTAAAGTCAGAAGTTGTGTTTTATGGTTGCATTTGTTCCTGTATTTTTTAAAATATCCTTTTGCTGTAAAGTGCTTTAATTACAATTGGATTTCTTTTCCAACAAAGCAGCTGAGTGATGTATTCACTTATATTATTCCATCTGCTTCTAAAAAGTTAAATGACGACCTTATCTTTTGTGCTTCACTCCAAAGAAATTTACATTTTAATTTTTTTATGCATTTAGCAGACGCTTTTATCCAAAGCGACGAACAGAGGAGGATTAACATTATCAAGCATTTGGTTCCTCTGGGAATTGAACCCAGGACTCACTGCTTGTTTCTGAGGCAGGCGTGCTAACTGCTACACTATTGAAATGATCATAAAACAGAAAAAAAAGTCAAATGCTTGAATGTGGTCTTCAAAGTGCCTACATCTGAGAGGGTAAATCCTGCTGCGGAAGATGTTCATTTTTATTGGATTGTTCTTCTGTTCTAAACCCTTCTTCACGGAATTATCAATAAAACCTTTAGTTGACAGATGCTCACTGTTGAAAATCTGTTATTTATTCAAATATAACATTACAAAATATAAAAAAGTATTTACATCTTTACCAAAAAGGAGTCTCTGTCTGCTGCAGCAGCTCACTGCAGGTTCTACTGAGGTCAGGTTCTACTGAGGTCAGGTTCTACTGAGGGTTCAGTCACATTTCTATCCCGCAGCTGCTGTCAATCCTACGACGGGAACAGGCCACTGAAGGCGTCCTGAATGGCTCGATGACAGGCCAGGGCTGAGGTGTATCCTCCAGCTGTGTCCTGAGGCATGGCCGCCCGCACGTGGTTCAGATACCTGAGAACACAGTGATGTGTGGTCAGGATCAGGGTTCACGTCAGTGCTTTAAATCAGTGGAAAAGGCTCCAATTCCACCTGCGGCTTTAAACAGTTCTCGGATCAACTTCTGTCACTGTTCATTAATTTATCATTTTTATAATTAAAAGAGCTCAAATGAAAACTGACCTCACAGAAGGCGGGTTTGGCAATTAGACAAATGATAACTCAACGCTAATAAAATTAAAACAGTAGAAGAAAACGTACAAATTAGCGATAATAACAAAAATGTTAATGAACAAAAAATCTTTTCCTAAAAACATCTGATCAACAAAAATGACTAAAGACAAAAAAAAAAAAAAAAACGTAACAAAATGTCTCTGCCGGGAATTGAGGAGCTAAAATGAAGCGAACCAAGAAACAAAAATCCAAACGTTACCATAAATTGATAACATTTTTGCTAACAAATTAAAAAGAATCTGAAAACAAAAATGTAGCCAAGGAAAAACAAGTTATACAAAAACTAAAAGTTTCCCAGGGGAGTAGCTTTTAGAGAAGATGGAATAGAGAAAACAGAAAGGAAAAAAGTAGAAAACATTTAGCCAAAGGCTAACTAAAAGTTGTCAGGGTAGAAAAAAAAGAAAAGGCAACAACATGACTCCAGGTTTGCCTAAACATCTATCTATATCTAGTTCAGTTCCGTGAGTATAACGTGCTGGTTTTTAAATTTGACCTGGTAAAAGTAACGGTGGCTTCTTGTCTACTGGTTGAAAAAAACAAACATAGTTCCTGTAGAATGAAAGAGTTTATTCTTCATTTAATCCACACTTACGGATGTTTGCTTTAAGTCCTCTAGAAAACGTTGGCTCTTTGATGAGATCAACAAAAAGACTCATATGCTAACAGTGGAACACCTTGTGTCTAAAAGCCTCTCCGGCGCAGCTCTATTAAAGTATTATAGGTGTCTTGTATTTGTCTAAGTGCTAACAGATGTATCCTGCCAAGGGTTCTTAAGAAAAGCCAAAAGTCACTATTTATTTGACATCGGTGAAAAAAACAGAAGAGTTTAGCTGATCATTTAGCGGTGGGTGGCTAGGGGGGGGGGTGTGTTAGCAGTGCAGCCACTTTAATCCTTCCTGCGCTGTTACTTTTGATCAAAAATGGACGTTTTTTGGTCACATGTTCGTCGCTGCTTTCTCCTTTCATTTGGCTACAAAGTTGAAAAAGCAAAGTCCAACGACTGAGACGACACGGAGCTCTGCCCCTCACTACTGCCCCCCCTCCCCCGTCTGCAGAAACCAAAGCTCTGGTGCAGAGGTCCAGAGCCCTCACATGAGTCGGGCTCTGTGGCCCTTGTTCCTGTGAGTGGAGGAAACATCAAAGTGAAACAGGAATCAAGAGCACAGACAGTCCTCTGTGATTTCATCGTCATTCAGACTGCTTTACAGAGTAACCCAACACCTGTGGGGAGGCTCTGAGTGAGCGAGCGGGGGCCAGACTGTGTGTGTGTGTGTGTACCTACAGTGTGATGGATGGACAAGCACAAAAAAGTGTCGGTGAGACTGAGCACTGAATTGTTCTGGAGGGTTTTTTTTTGCACTTTGAAGACAAGCCACGTAATTCCTAAAGGAAGCTGCATCTACTCTGTGTCATTTCAAAACTAAAACAAGGGAGACTCAGAGCCTTTCAGAGTCTTTCTTCAATTCCTGTGTGTCTGTTCAACCAAACAGGCCAAGGTTTCACACTGTGACATCCTTATGATTCATTACAAACACCTTTAGGGACATCTTGGTTTGATGGTGCATCACGGGATTTTTCTAATGTAAAATACAGTATGTGCCGCGGCCTAGCGTTTTTATACCGAATGGTTTTGATATGACCGCTTACTGACGCCGTCTGTTGTCTGTTGTCTGTACTCTGACTTCAGTGTGCGGCATTTCTCCGCATGAATGTCATCACATGCCAGTGACGGCCTCGTGAATGTTTACAACAGACGGGGAAAGTGAGAAAAGGAGCAGCATGAGATGTCAGTCAGTCAGTCAGTCAGTCAGTCAGTCAGTCAGTCAGCCCCGCACACAAAGACCACTCATCAGCCACTAGAGAAACAACACACAAGTTCAAAACAGGAGGCTCAGTGATTAATAATAACTTCATTAGGCCCAAGCTGCTGTAGCCTGTCCTTCAGAGCACTTGAGGGAGGTCTTCTCATATGGCTTCCTGCATCGGATGAGTGCTATCTATTGATTATATTGTACTGGGCCTTTTTAATGGTGAAAAAAGTGGGCTATTTACAGCCTGGCTAAGTCTGCTCTTCCTGCTAATCTAATCCCCAAGCTACTCATGTGGTCATTCCTTCCAAGAAAGCTGAGAGCTCTGTGTAACTTTATACCTGCCTGCCCCTAAGGAGGGAGGGAGGGAGAGAGGGAGGGAGGACATGAAAACCCTCTTCTCTAAAACCAACCCTGGCTGCCCTCTGCTCACCCCTAACACCCGGGGTTAGTTCAGTTCTGCTCCATTAACTCAGCGGCTGTATCCGAAACACTTCCTGTAAGACGGGCCGCCGCGTTCACGCACGCACGCATTTACTGGCCGTGGACGTCCACGATGCAGTGGAAGACTCTCGCTTTTTGAAGTGACTATACTCGGGGGGCGGGGGCCGAGGGGGACGCGGACTGACGACACCTTCTGACTTGCAACAACAAGAAGTGCCTTAAAAAGTCAGCCTACAAAAACAGACCCTTTCACACAATCTTCAATCATAAAACCAGATACAGACACAGAACACACCCCCCCCCACCA